ATACCTGTATGAATTTTAACTTTTTCTTCTGTAGTTCCTAAAAATACATAAAGCATGTATTTTTCTATCTGGTTTGTATGCCTGGTCCCAGTAGGTAGTCTGTTTTGGGTAACAAGGGAATAGGAAACAGTTGCTCATGATGTTTGTAGTAAACAGGATTTAGACACTAAATAGAGAATGAGTAAATCTATAGTAACTACTTTCTGCATCTCTTGCACATAGATTTCCAGACGTTTGTACCTTTCTTTGAATATTGATACTGAGTCTCTTTTCATGTGCCCAGTGGCATGCTGGGTGTTATGACATCATAGTTAAAAGTCCAGGTTCTGAGTCAACATGTATGGGTTCAAAACTCATCTTTATCATTTAATCTCTCTGAGCTCCAGTTTCTTTATCTGCAGTTGAGAATAATAGTTTCTACCTTATCAGGTTGTTATTAAGATTACCTGAGATCTAAAGCACAAAGTGACTATTGAGTAAACACTGAATAAATGTTAGCTGTTATTATTGGCCATAATAAGAAGAAAGATGTAATTTCTGCCTTCAAGAAATTAACAATCCATTTGAAATATAAAACATAATACTGCTCAAATAGCATGAGGCGTTCATGGAGCAACTTGGTGAAAACTATCCATAGAAGACTTAGGTCGGATTGCAGTTGAAAGGAATATTAATGGAGTAAGTGAATTTATAAGCAGTCAGAATTAAAGAAAGTTAAACCACACCAAGTAAGAAAAGGAGAAAAACAGCTTTAAACAAGAGAAATGACAAGTGCAAAAGTGTTAGTCAAAATCTAGTAAAATGTATGGCGAGTGCTCCAATTTGTCTAGATTATGCAGAAGAAATAATCCCATTTCTATTTGGAGGAACCAAATGAGAAGTAAATCTGGTAAATGCTCTCTTCATAAGGGAGCATTTCATATCCCTTATGAAGGATTTTTAATCAAGAATTCAGTATATGGTGGAGATAAGCTGTAACTGGGTCTCTGGAACTCTCAACCCAAAGCTTTTAACACCTGCTGCATGGAAAGAAAGCTCAGGGCTGGGAGTCAGACCAACCAGCAGAACTGGCACAGAAAACCCATTTATTGCTCTTTTCCATGTATTTGGCCCAACTTTACGCCCTTATTTTGGGATTTGTTCTACTTTCTCTGGTACTTGTACATTTCCTAGCACTTTTAGGAAGAGGAAATGATCTAAATTCTGGGACAGAATGAGAGCAAGTTCTTATTTTGTTGTTATTCATTTTGTTACAGTGCTATGAATTAAATTTGGGGTCTTGCACATGCTAGGCAAGTGGTCCATCACTGAGCCATCTCCCCAGCCTTGAAGGTGTTATCTTTTTATTTTTGTTTTATACATTATTTTTCTGGATTTCTTCTGCTGAGATTGAATGACATTCCTACCATATTCTTTGTCATGTCTTAATGCCAGTAGAATCCAGATTCAAATTTTGATTAGGGATGCTTATGTTGACATATTACAGAGTGAGTCTAGATGACTTCTTATCCTAAATCTCTATCTTAAGTAATGAAAGACCACTGCTGATTGTCTGCAAGGCCCTTTTTGACCAACTTTCCTAAACTTTTCTTCCTCCCTTATCTGCTTTCCCTGTTTTAATTTTTTCCCCATTACATTTGTAACATACTATATATGTTACTTGTTGATTAAATGCTTCAATGAATAGCAGCATTACAAAAGAGTCATTCTCTTCCACTTGAAAAATTTGATTTGCATATTCTAAAATTACAGAATTCTAATGGTGATGAAACTATATTATCTAATATTGGCACCTCCAAAGTACACACCTCCCTTAATATATTTCAATATAAGAGTCTGTTTGGAAATTTTTAGTTTGCATGTAGCTTGTCAAAAACTCATAGCTTTTGTATAATGAATTACTTATTTATCTTGCCCTAGTTTTGGTCAACCTAGACTTGGTTAATCCCAAATCTAGTTTAAGACCATTTTAAATATAATTTAAATGGTGCTAGCCAGATTTTTGACGTACCATGTAATAGCTTTGTTACAATCATTTATACCCACAGACTGGTTTTGCTAGTAATGGTTATAGATATGTTGTAGCCCTTTTGAATTAAGAAATGCAATGGCCTTTTTAGTTTTCCTATTTGATCTCTGGTTTATAACATTTATGGTTCAGCTAATGTCTTTCAGCAATTAGTTAACTGGTGATTTGTACCTATATTGACACTAACGTTCTCAACATAGAGGGATTTTTTTTAATGGTTGCTATTCTAAATAATTAACATATCAAAGGAGTGCAGCTTGATGATAAATTGTACTTGTATTTACTTTCATTTCCAAGGCTAATTGTTTCTTTTCTATACTTTTTTGATACTTACAAAGAGCCTCAATTGAGAATAGTTGTATAAGTGAGTCATTATGAGCTAAGCAAAAATATTGACTCATGATATTAGTAGATGTATCCTTTGCTGGTACCATTGTTCACATTTGAGTTTTCTTTAATAAAGTCTCAAGTAGTCATAGGTTTAAGGAACTAAGGAGATAAACATTGAAAAATTGGCATTTTCTATTTAATTCCATCATTTAGCCCAAATATTTCTCAAATTAGAAAAGTAAGTTCAGTGGTTAATTCCACTCATTTATTCATTCTTCCTATCATTCCTGCATTCATTGTTTTTTTTTTCCAACCGATTTACTATGTATGTAGTTTGTTCCAGACACTGAGAATGCAAAAAAAAAAAAAAAAAAAAAAAGAACAGGAAAAGCTTTCAGACTTGAAGGAACTCACCTATAAACCATGGGAATCCCTTTTTTATATCAAATACTGAACCACATTCACATTACATCTCGGCTCAACAGCATAGCTGTTACTGCCTCACCATGTACACGTGAGTGTTTGCCATACTTTTGTACAGGAAGAAGGTAATATTCTTTAGCTTTAGCGGATTTGGCATCTTTTTCCCCATTTTAGCCTGTGGCAGTTTCAGATGGCGCAGAAAGCAAGCCCTGAAAATGTATACTTGTACATTTTAAAATGTCTCTTACTATGTTTTAACCATACCCTGTTTTCCAAATGCTGCCATTAGTGGTTACAATAATCATCTGTAATGTTAGCTTCTAAGAACCATGGTACAAGGGCTTCTTTTCTAATTTCCCAGATGGGAGGGAACACATGTACAAGCCTGTTAGAGTTGCAGAAACTGGAAACAGCACTGTGTGGATTTGTATTTTTGGAACTCTTTGGGTTTACTTAAGCACTCAAAATCAAACTTAGGTATCTATTAGAAATCAAACATCAATTCAGGGAAAACTCACGTGCCATACCAAGAGGAATAAAACATTACAGTAGTTCATGAGATGAACTCCTGGAAATAACTCGTGTCATATTCAGACCAGTGTTTCATGTGCTTTTTGCAGGATGTCAAATGATAAATGTTGATTATATAAGCCAAGACCACTCCTTTTCTTTGGGGGTTGTCTTTAAACATTTGTGTTCTTTACTATAATAATAGCGAAATGGAAAGTTAAGAAGCAGAAAAGGGAAATCATTGTAAGTTATCCATAGGCACATGGATTAATGCTGTCAATTAGAAGGAATCTCAATGGCCCCTGGGTTTGTCCAATGTGTTTTCTCAGGGTTTATAGGATACAGGATACAGGACAAGCATGGATGGGTTTTAGACAGACAAAGGACAGGGAGTCTGAGGTTCTCTGTGTTCGTGGACAGTGAATCTTAAAGTCTAGGTTGGAATCCCTCTGGTATGAGATAAGTGCTGAACTCTTCTGAGGACCTATGAACTAATCCAGACATATAGATTAGTTCTTACCAATCCCTGTAGGTGAAAGATATACAATTCTATTAAGTGTTTAAGTTTTTTTTTTCTTTTTTTGGCAGTACTGGGGTTTGAACCCAGGGCCTCACATTTGTTAGGCAGGCTATCACTTGAGCCATCCCACCAGCCCATGTTTATTATTTTTTTTTATTTGACTTGTGAGCTACTATCAAGTCAGTAAGGGTTGCTAAAATTTGGTATGTGCAAATTAAAATCAACATGGTATCAGAGTTGTTCTCATTTAGCAGAACTCTGGCAGATATTAGGTCCTTGGCGATGATCAGAAGCATAGCACGTAGATACACGTCCAGTTTTGATTCAAGACAGTTCCTCAGTTCGTCATCTGTGTTGCCTTGAGTTGGTTCTCATCTTCAATTGCTGCTATTCTATAATTAATTACAGCTGCTTTGCTGTAATTAATAACTATTAATTACAGTAAGTTTAGCTTTCTTATCAGTTTAGTTTATTGTGGTTAGCTTCAAAATTAAGATGCGTGTCTATTATAGCTCCCATGTCAATCATCTATAATCACTTTGCTGAAGGAGGTATGTATTTAACCCCCCCTGCCATTTGCTTATATGGTGACATACTTCATGGTGATAGAGTTCCTAAGAAGTTTTGCTATTTAAATTATTCACAACATACTATAAAGGCAGATGCAATAAGATTTGACTGGATATTTTAGCATTTTGTTAGTGTTGTAGGATAACAATCATGTTTATAGCAACATGTTTACTTCAATTTGTTAGCTGTGTTTTTGTCTCATTCTTTGTTACCATCGTATTCTCCACCCCCCACCTGGATGTATGAATGAGTGAGACAGGCGGGGGCTTGTACTTCACCGTGGCAGGCTGTAGTCAGGAAGTGGAAAGCCATCACTCTGCAGAGTAGTGAGCTATGTGACAAAACATGTGTTGAGCTGCTCTGTTGGAGTAAGGAGAACTCATAGCCATGGCTTCAACGCCAGTAGAGTGTGAGCCCTTCACTAAAAAGATGTTCAGAGAAAGCTGAGTGTGGTGGTGCACACCTATAATCCTAGCACTTGGGAGCTGAGGCTGGAGGATCATGAGTTCAAGTTCAGCCGATGCTGCATAGTAAGCCCTGTCTCAGAAAACAAGACAAAACAAAACACGTTTGCAGAGGAGGTATTCATGACATTATGTTTCTCATTTCTTTTCTAAGGATGTAAATGAAGATCCTGGAGAAGATGTAGCCCTCCTTTCTGTCAGTTTTGAGGACACTGAAGCCACCCAGGTGTACCCCAAATTGTACTTGTCACCTCGAATTGAGCAGTAAGTGTCAGTGTCATTAATGTTACGCAGACTGAAGTTTTTCCTCTCACTCTTTCTTTTGCTACTCATGAGGTCTTAGAATTATTTCTTTTTCTTAATCTTTGTTTCCTTAAAAATTTGTCATTTTAGGAGCTTTGTTGTCTGTGTACACGCAGATAGTGTTTGCCTCTGTGAGCTTTCAGTGAGTCTTATTTGTGCAGCTTGTGCTATGGATCCTATGCACACAAATACCTGAGGGAAAAATAGGTAGACATTTCCAGATTGTGAATCCCTCCAGGTGTCCCCTGGGGTTCATGAACAATGGCTGTAGCCTAAAGAAGACTGTTGAACATATCTGACCTGACTTGTTATATACTTGTAACTATTAGTTATTTGTAAAAATATAACTAGTATCTTTAAAATACTAAGCAAAAGCTTATTCAGAAGTTAATAAAGGTGACATTAAAAGTGTACAGTTTTAAGAAGGTGATGTTTGAATTATTTCTTTGTTTAAAATAGCTGCAGAGGGTTTGGGAGCCTGGCTTAAGTGGTAGAGTGCCTGCTCAGCAAGTGCGAAGCTCTGAATTCTAACCCCGGTACCGCAAACACAAACAAACAAAGCCAGCTGTAAATGATTTTATGTAACATCCAACTACACGGTAGAAACAGTTTGCTGTCACGTCATTCTAACCAAGTAGCTTTTCTCATTGGTGATAAGTTTTATAAGGACTCGCTTCACAATGTGCTTATTGTTAGCTAAATGCTGTAGTAGCTTATTGAACTTCAAAAGAAGCTGGGGTTCACTGAAAAGGAATTATAAGCAGGTTTGGCTGGGGACCTCTGACAGGACAGATTTTTCATCAACAGAGAGTTTTTACAGATTCTGCTGAAATCATTATTAAAATTCTCTGTAAGTCATTTAGTCAGGCTTGGCTAATTTCTGTCTGTGAGTAGATGTGGTCACTATCCAACATTCTTATACTGAGCCATTTTCTCTCTCTCTGACCTCAGTTGCTCTAAGCTGTGAATCGTGGAGCCCCCCTCCCCATCTTATAAGCTGATATGATGCAGCTGCTTATATGCAAATATGAGATCGTGAAGAACAATAATCATCAGACACTCTCTGTTTATGTATCTCCCACAGCATCTAGAACAGAATTTTACAGTAGCAGGCAGTCAATGAGCGCTTTCTTTTTTAATTGAAAACACTGCACCATGTTAGTAAAAGGCCATGGGTTGCTGGAGGCAGTGCAGTGAAGAGATAAGAGGCAAGGGGTCCAGAGTCACGCAGAGCTGCTTCAAACCCAGATTCTGCCGCTCAGCAGCCAGCAAAGTGTTTGACATCTCTGAGCTTGTTTCCTTGGTCATAAAAAAGGGATAATAATACCCATCTCAGCATGTTGTTTTGAGGATTATATTAAGTACAGTTCATAAAGTATTAACTTTACATTGCCTGGCACCATAGCAGACATTCAGCAAATAGTAGCTATTAATATTGTTATTATTAATGATGGAATGAGTGAGCAGTTAACAGGGACAGGTTGGGGCAGAAAAGGACAGGATGGGTAAATAAGTGAGCAAATACTAGATCTCAGTATGTACTTAATGAGTTAAATTAAATATTTTGGTGATGAGAGAGTTAAAGAAATAGTCCCAAGATGTGAGGAAAATGAATATACTAAGGCATAGGCAAGAAATTGCCAGCTCAGAAAAACATTTTCCCAGCAGCCAGGTTATTTTTCTTTGAAGTTGCTGTACCTGGTTTGCAAGTAAACTTCCTAAACAAATATTCTAAAAATCTAAGATAGAATGAGAAAAGTTAATAAGGAAAGGTATAGTAAAGAGTCACTTTTCTTAATTCTAAAATCTAACTTTCAACTTTCCCTCCCTCTTTATGTTAAGAATTGGCTACAGTGTGTCTTTCTACTTCATTTTTCTATTACTTCCCTCAGACCATCCCTTAGCCAGACTCAGTTAAAGCTTTCTCACTCTGCCTCTACTCTCTCACCGCTTGTACCTTTGCTAAAGCCCTTCCTCCCATTCACAGTGCCTTTCTCTAACTCCCTCTTCCAGGTGAAAAATACATTTTCCTTTTTGGTGGTTTTGGGATTTGAACTCAGGGACTCACACTTGCTGGGAAGGCACTCTGTCACTTGAGCTACTCTGCCAGCCCTATCCATTTTCAAAGGACTTTTTAAAATGCCCAATCAGCCCAGCCTTCTTGGGAGCTCTTTGTAACACTGAATTTGTATTATTCTCATAATCTGCCTATGTAGCTTTAGTTGGCGATGTGTGTTTTCTTATTCCTTCACTAAACTGCTAGCTGCTTGGTGTTAAAGAACAGGTCTTACCATTCCTTCAAAGCCCTGCACAAATGCATTGCACAGCAGCAGTCGCCTGATTGGCAGTCTTACAGGTCAGTAACATTCTCACCAAAAAATTGCAAAGTGCTCTACTGAAAGGTCTTAAATTTTTCTGGGTTGATAGAAATTCACTTGGCTTAACCATATTCGTAATACCGAAGTAAACAGCCAAAAATCCTTCTATTATTAAGTAGAAATGATTGTATTGATGTGTTAGAGAACAGTTAAAATGGAAAGCAGTGAACTTGGGATATGACTTTGTAAGGGCTTATATATTTGCTAGAATTGTTGCAGCAGTCTCTCATCTGGGGTTTTGCTTTCTGGGGTTTCAGTTACCTGCGGTCAACTGTGGTCTGAAAATATTAAATGGAATATTCCAGAAATAAATAACTCATAAATTTTAAATTGCACATCATTCTGAGTAGCATGATAAAAGCTTATGCAATCCTGCAGGACATGAATCATCCCTTTGTCCAGCATTTCCATGTTGTATATGCGGCCCGCCTGCAAGTGATTTGGTAGCTGTCTTGGTTATCAGGTTGGTTATCATGGTATCAGTGCTTGTGTTCAGTAATGCTTGTTTTACTTAAGGATTGCCCCAAATTGCAAGAGTAGTGATCCTGACAATTTGGATACATCAAAGAAACTGTAAAGTACTTCCTTTAAGTAAAAAGGTGAAAGTTGTCAACTTAATAAGAAAAGGTTGTATGGGGAGGTTGTTAAGATCTGTAAAAATGAATCTTCGATTCATGAAATTCTGAAGAAGGAAAAAGAAATCTGTGCTAGTTTTGCTGTTACACCTCCTACTGAAGAAATAGTAATTGTCCTGTTCTATTATGCTTGTTGTGAACTTTATACTGTGCCTTATTTATAAATTAAACTTTATCATAGGTGTGTTTGTATAGGAGAAATCATAGTATGTGTTTTTGATTTGGTACTATCTGTAGTTTCAAGAATCTACGTAGGGTCTTCAAACATACTCCCCCCTGGATAAGGGGGTAGGGGACCTGCGATAATACCTTTGGCTAATTCTCAAAATAGTTCAAAGTGGAGAACAGAAAGGTAATGCCATTTCAAGAAGGCCCTCGGCCTAGGGTAGGTGTCAAAAACTGAGTGAAGAGGGGTTGGTACTCTCTTTGATGTTGTGTTATGCTCTTGTTTGTTTTTCTTGTTTTTTTAGACATAACCTTGTCGTCATTATTATTATTATTGACCTACATTGATTGTGCAAAGGGGTTTCATTGTGATATTTCTATATATGCATATGATGTGCTTTGATGAATTTCACCCCTTCTATTACTCTCTTATCCCCCTCCTAACTACCCTCCTTTTAATTTTTTTTACAATCTTAATGAATTTCATTATTTTTTTTACCAGTTTTTATTATTGTATTGTTGCTGTACTGGGGACACATTGTGACATTTAGAAAAGTGTTTACAATATATCTTAGTTAAATTCACCCCCTCCATCATTCTCCTTTATCCCCCCTCCCTTGAGCAGTCATTTGTAGCCTGTGTTTTATGCTATCTGCTCAACTCTTAGCTATCCAAGCATTGATTATAGACTCGTACATGGAGCATTCTTTCAGGAGTCATAGGACAAGCCTCCCATGTTGACCCTCCCAGTGCTGATGGCCAACTGTTGCCCTAGCTGAGGCTTGTACTCCTTTCTGCTTCTGCTGTGGTTCTTTCCAGGAAGTCCTAAGCTGTATTCGGTACACCTTGAGCACAGGCTTGGGAACACCAACAGCCTGATCACGTTAGATGTGCGTAGTCCTGAGGAGGCTTGTGTTCCCCATCTTAGTGCACAGGCAGAGAGAAAGAGACTTTGAAAGCTGGGGAGTGGCTCAAGCGCTAAGAACTCCTGCCCAGCAAGTGCTGCCCCTGCAAAAAAGAAAGAGAATTTGAGTCTGAAAGAAACCCCATTGCAGTATGGCCATTATTGCTCTGTCCCCGTTTGTCTGTGCAGGGAGCAAGAATTCACATTAACTAGTCTCAGAAATGGATGAAGAAAGATACTGCTTTCATCACATGTGGAAAAAGCGATCAAATGATTGCATCCTGAACTTTTTTTAAAGATATGAATAACAAATGTTCCCGAATTAGATAATCTCAACATAAGAGAACATTTGTCAGATACATTGGTAGGAAACTCCCAAGCATGTTATAATTTGATGTTGATTTGAAATGCAGACCCACTTCTAAAGTCTGTCTGTTTACCCAGGGTCCAGTAATAGTTGCCTGGTGCCTCTGACAGCCCTTTGCCAATGACTCCCCTTAGAGCTGCACAGCCCATTGTTTCCCACCACACATGTATGTGGCTTGAAGCGTAAACACCTCTGAGAAGAACTTCCTGTTCTTTATGCACAAGGAACATTTATGAAATAAACATATTTCAGCCCTATATATTTTTTTTCCAAGGAATCAAAACAAGTCAGTTGAATTAGACGTGAAGTTCTGTTCATTAAGAAAATCAAAAGTTCGTGTGGAGTTATTAAAAAAAAAAAAACTAGTAGTAATGCAAAATAGATTTTGGTTGACTATTAGGAAAGGGAAAAATCATTTCTAAACCAGTTGCCTTTCTTTTTCCTGGCAGAAAAGTTGTAAATTTGAGGTTACATCATTAGAGCTGGCCCTACACATGCCCTGCCTTCCCCTT